ATAATTCAAAAAAATTCAAACATAATTTAAAAAATTTAAAAAAATATTATAAATGCAGAAATAGATAGGATAACGTTAAAGATAAAGGAGAAAGAGGATGCAGAATATTTTCTAACATGTGATTTGTTTTACAAATGGTTAGACAACAAAGGTAGAAATTAGAAGTTGGAAGAATGCTACTGTTTATGAGTAAATATTGTTATTAGTACTGATATTGTGTGTAAGTTGACTCAAACAATGCACTGTATATTAAGCGCGTATGTGTAATAAATAAAAGTGTACAAATAAATCTATTTTAAAAAAAGCAAAAAACAAAACCAAAATGTTTCTCAGATTTCTGGGGAAACATTCCAGGCATTTCTTCCCCAAAATAAAATTTATAATGGAGCCAAGTTGGGCTATTTAGGAGCTCCAGATGTTGTTTAGTTCAGGGGTCTCCAACCTTGGCCACTTTAAGACTTGTGGACTTCAATTCCCAGAATTCCTCAGCCAGCCATGCTGGTTGAGGAATTCTGGGCGTTGAAGTCCACAAGTCTTAAAGTGGCCAAGGTTGGAGACCCCTGGTTTAGGGGTCTTTAAACTTGACAGCTTTAAGACTTGTGGACTTCAACACCCAGAATTCCTCTTCCAGTCATGTTAGCTCAGGAATTCTGGGCGTTGAAGTCCACAAGTCTTAAAAGTTGCCAAGTTTGAAGACCTTTGGTTTAGATAATCAACCAACTGAAGTCTGGTGAACATCTGGAGTGGTTTCTATGAAGGGTAGTACGTTCCTAATTGGGCTCTACTTGTATCAATGGAGCCTTGTTGTGGAGTGTTGTAGACGTGGGGTTGAGAAGCTGTGGAGCATTGCTTGAAGTGTCTTTGGCAAGATGCAATCAACACCAAGTGTGTGTCTTGCTCTGATGGTCCTTATCGGTGGTGAACAGCTGTCAACTTTTCGGTGAAGGGCCCCCAGCGAGGACAAAACTGACGTTGTTGAGTTGGTCTTTAGAAGAATGTGAGATAACGGCATGTTAGTAAAGACCTACCCAAGTCTGCTACTCCCAATCGTGGGAGGGGAGAACTTTCTCCAAAGAGAGCACTGTTCTGTAACTATGAGAGAATGGGGTAGGCAGTCTCACAAGCTGCCACATCTTCTTGGGACAAAGGATTTTTTCTGAATCGAGGTCTCCTCCCAGGCCAGTGACTTCTGCTACATACCCTTTGACAAATGGGTCGGGTTTTGTAGCTATATAGAATAGAATAAGAGAGTTGGAAGGGACCTTGGAGGTCTTCTAGTCCAACCCCCTGCTTAGGCGGGAAACCTTACACCATTTCAGGCAAATGGTTATCCAGTCTCTTCTTCAAAACTTCCAGTGTTGGAGCATTCACAACTTCTGGAGGCAAATTGTTCCATTGATTAATTGTTCTCACTGTCAGTAAATTCCTCCTTAGTTCTAAGTTGCTTCTCTCCTTGATTAGTTTCCACCCGTTGCTTCTTGTCCTGCCTTCGGGTGCTTTGGAAAATAGCTTGACTCCCTCTTCTCTGTGGCAGCCCCTCAAATATTGGAAGACCGCTATCCTGTCTCCCCTGGTCCTTCTCTTCAGTAGACTAGCCAGGCCCAGTTCCTGCAACCGTTCGTTGTATGTTTTAGCCTCCAGTCCCCTAATCACCCTGGTTGCTCTTCTCTGTTCTTTTTCTAGAGTCTCCACATCTTTTTTTATAGTGTGGTGACCAAAACTGGATGCCGTAGTCCAATGTTCAGCGGAGATGAGTATAAATGCTCAGCTCATGCCCATGTTACTCAGGGTAGAGGGGTGCAACCTGCAAACCTCTTTGGTCGCCTGATCTTGAAGAGCAAGAGAGCCCCACCATTTATTGTGGTAGTCTCTTCCCTTAGCTTGTGCTCTCGGGAATCCAACCTAGAATTAAGGAGAAATTTTGTGACTGTCAGAACAATGAATCCGTGAAGTGGCTTGCCTGTAGACATTATGGGTGCTCCATCACTGGATATTTTTTTAAAAAAGAGATTGGGCATTTGTCTGACATGGCATAAAGTTTCCTGCCTGGAATAGAATAGAATAGAATAGAATAGAATAGAATAGAATAGAATAGAATAGA